CGGAGATATAGGGTACATTGAAAAATATGATGCCAGAATTCTTATTTGTTTACTTTTTTGTATATTTTCGTATGTTTGCTCTGGTTTCTGCATTTATTCCAACGAAAACAAACTAGGTGCGAATTTTTATTGAACTATTTGTGGAATTTATAGTGGTTTTAGTGAAATATTCTCGAAAAACATGCTATTTTGCCTGTATTTTAGGTGGGTGGGATTCTCGTAAGGGCAGCTAAGGGCAGCTGGACTTTGTCTCTTTTGCTAGCTCATATCATTGTCTAAAATATACCAGAAAACTGAAGACATGATATTCGATGATTTTTTTCTAATTTCACCTTTTGTAAACCGTTACAAGTATCTCTACTAATAAGGAAACCTGTCAGTTATTTATAATTTTTATTCGTTAAACTTTTTAAATTGCAGAAGCAGTAATGGTTTAAAGATTGAACTATCTCTTAAGTTAAAGTATTTAGAAAGCAGTTGATCACTGAACTGAGACGAGAAAAAAATTCACGCTTATGGATACCAACTACTGAAACATTGACGCACATGAATAATTCTAGATTACTTTTTCGAAGAGACGTATCAGCTTTTGTAAACAATGCAATTGATCGCCGGTTTGGCGTAACTGGCAGCTTGCTCACGCATACTAACACTACCATCAGATAGGGGAATTTTTTTTCCTGCATGATAGTGGTCACGATCAAATGCATTGTTTACAAAAGCTGATACGTCTCTTCGAAAAAGTAATCGATAATTGTACGTTGTACACGATCACGTTGGCACAGCAGCACACAGCTTGTACGATGATGTCACATATACAACTTTACCTGGGTAATGCAGCTGATTGAGCTGACGTATAAATTTATATAATGTTATGCATTTTGTGAAACAGTTCATTTCAATGTAAAGGATGTTTTTATCGGTATATATATAAAGTGAAATTTAAAAAAATCATCGAATATCATGTCTTCTGTTTTCTGGTATATGTTAGACGATGACATGAGCTAACAAAAGAGACAAAGTCCAGCTGCCCTTAGCTGCCCTTTCGAGAATCCCACCCACCTAAAATAGAGGCAAAATATCATGTTTTTCGAGAATATTTCACTAAAACCACTATAAATTCCACAAATAGTTCAATAAGAAAGAATTTTGGCATCATATTTTTCAATGTACCCTATATTTCCGAAACTAGAGGTTATGGAAGTTTTATGTTTTCTGCAACTTTCCTTCATTTTAATAGATAAAAAACTTTGTTGAAAACACCATACGTCTAGGATGCTTTATTTAAAAGTTAGATTCGCGCGCCATCTCTACGACCAAGTTGCGAACTAATTAATTTATTCAGACGAAGCGCATAGCTAATACAAACAACTTTACCCCAGACAGTATTCTGATTGGATGCTTTGTTCAAAAGTTATTAATTTTTTCCGAGAAAATCACTGATCTGCCCCAGTGTGCGTCAGAACAAGTAATTTCAGCTAAGTTTAATGATTATTTTGTAGACAGTGTTTCATTGATTAATTAATCCATTGAATTGGTTGATGAACATGACGAAATAAAACAGCCAGTTAATAGTAGTTGTAGATTTGAAGTTTTTCACCCAATTACATTAAATGAACTTAGCGTTATTTGTTTTTCATTAGGAAAATCGGCTGGAGTAGATAATGTTAATGATATAGTTATTCAAGATTGCTTTCATGTTATTGGCCACATCTTGTTGGACCTTATTAATGAATCATTACAAACTGAACATGTGCCACAAATTTGGAAGGAATCCTTAGTGGTCCCTATTCAAAAAGTTGCTGGAACGATTAAAGCCGAAGAGTTTCATCCCATCAACATGTTGCACACAATTGAGAAAATTTTAGAACTTGTTGTTAAAGGCCAGCTGTTGGAGTATTTAAATAGTAACAGTTTGTTGATACCAGAACAATCGGGATATCGGGAAGGTCATTATTGTGAAACCGCGTTGAATTTGGTATTGGCGAAGTGGAAAAATAACTTGGAGTGTAAAGATACGATTGTTGCTGTTTTTTTGGATCTTAAACATGCTTTTGAAACAATTTCTAGGCCCCTTTTGTTAAGATCAATCAAGCACTTTGGAATTACGAGTACTGCATATAAATGGTTTGAAAGCTATTAGTCTGACAGAACTCAACGGACTGTTTTTAATGATTCTGTTTCCAGTCCCGTTGGAATAACCTTGGAGTGCCCCAGGGAAGTGTATTAGGGCCCCTGTTATTTATTATGTATATTAATGACTTGCGACGTGTTTTACGATTTTGCGACATTAATCTTTTTGCAGAAGATACTGTGTTATTCATTGCAGCTAAGGATTTAGATGATGCCGTTTTACACTTGAATGAAGATTTGCGTTCTCTAAGTAGATGGTTGAAGTATAAGGAGTTAAAATTGAATACAAGTAAAACTAAATTTATGGTAATTTTGCGGAATCGAGTAAATGAGAACGTCTCTGTTGTAATTGATGATGAGACTATTGATCGCGTTCGGGAGATTAAATATCTTGGCGTGATTATTGATGACACACTTAAGTTCAACTCTCACATTGACAATGTCATCAAGAAAATTGCCAAGAAGTATGGAATTCTATGTCGACTGATAAACGATTTAACTATTGCCAGTAAAATACAGCTATACAAATCAATCATCCCTCCTCATCTTGAATTTTGCCCTTCCATTTTATTTCTGGCCAATGCAACACAAATATCGAGATTACAGCGCTTGCAGAATAAAATAATGCGTTTGATTTTGAGATGTAATAGATTCACTTCCTCAACTTTGATGCTAGACGCCTTACAATGGTTGTCGGTGAAGCAAAGAATTGTATATTTGACTATGGTGTTCATTATTTAAGTTATCCAAGGTTATCCAGTGATTTTTTTTATGAATTGACAAATTATGTATCTTGACGAAGTTATTTTTAACGGATTATTTTATATGGATAGCTGTTATAACGACTTTTTAATAATTATTATAGCACTGCAAAAACTAAATTTTGTTTGAAACGATGGTGATGATTGATTTTTGATATTTTATTTAATAGTAGTAGTAAAAAAAATAGAAGTCTACAAAGGTTTGAGACTCGCGTTTGTATTACGGATATAAAGGACTGAATTTACAATTAAAAAAAATTCAATTTTAATGCTTATTTGGAAGATACCTTGAGTTAGTAGTAAGTTTTCTGGCAAATGTTGGGGGTTCGTGAGCATTCCTGACATTGCTGAAAATTATGATAGCATCAGATTGCGGGGTTACTAGTGTAATAGGATGCTTTGTTGATTGTTCATTAACTCTTGGTCGCTTGTAAAACTTATGAATATTTTAGGTGGACAAAAAGGCGAACTAAGACGTAGACGCCTAAGCTTTTTCACGTTTATATCGCTGTGAAGCAACTGTTAACTCTAGAGGGAATTTATATCTGTAAATGTAATCAGCTCGTTTTTTATTGCTAACCTGGTTAAAATGTTTACATTTAATTGTCTTAAAGATAAATCGTCCAGCTCAAACCTTTGTAGGGGTAAGAGGTGGGACCATCATCATCATCATCATCATCAAAAAATTTCAATGAATCAACATTTTGAAGACTAAACTTAAATGAAGAATGTACAGTTCCAGAAATACCAGGAAAAGTGAAATATGCATCTTGCAAAACGAACAGAAATCGATCACAAATAATCGACAAAAGAGACTGCATTTCACTCGCTTTCTACTTCGATCGAGACTGGAGTTAGTTATGTTTTTCTCACTCACCACACGTCATCCCGTTGAAAAGCTCTATTCAAACAGAGTAATCCAGACGCAGACGACTGTTATCTCGCATAGGAATAATACGCTTTAAAAAAAATCCCCCACTAAACCAACATCGTCGTCGACCGTCATCGTCCGTCGTCGTCCCGGTTCAGCCAAAGATTCGAGACTACGGGGGATGGCAAAAACATTCCCTTTCTCCTGTCGGAAGTAAGCGAAAGTTTCTCACTTTTCCTTCGCCACAAATACTGACTGAATACTGGTCTACCAGCGACAAGCGGATTTCGTTCCGATTTCTTCGATCCAAACACCTCACGGCGAATGCAAACACTTGAGGATGCTTTTTTCTCTCGCTCTCTCTACAACCAAGCTGCTGTCGTCATCGTCGTCGAGATGCTGCTCCTCTCTGTTCGGGAGAATGGATCCACTCGCACAGCATGAACCAGGAATTGCCGATGTTTACCGATGCATTTTGGGCTCTGATGATGGTAAACAAACTTTTCAACCCCTCTGCTTCCGATGCTTTTCGTTGGTGAGTTTTCCTTCAAGGGAGAGCTAATGGCAGTGGATCGTCGTGTGCGTTTCATGCGTTAGAATTTTTTTATCGAGGGAATGTTTGGGTTTTTTATTTAAAGTCTCGAACACAATGTCTCCGGTAAAATGTGCCACGGCACTTGCAATATTTGAAAAATCATAGCTCAGCCATTGACGAATTTCAAATATTTTAGCGTCATTTATAACCACATACTTTGAAGATTTTGTCAATATCAATGGATTTAAAATGTATCGAAGCAATGATTTTTCAAACACACATTTTACCGGAGATGTCTGTTTGGAGTGCTAATCATGCTTCATTATTTCAACAACAAGTTGTGCTCGTAAAATGATTGTGCTGATCGTAATTTAGAACGGAGCGCTGCTGGGCCCCCATCCCTCAAAGTACCCACTTAAGGACCTAACGATAATCTCCCCTAAGTAGATATAAAATTGATAAGCAACAATGCTAAGATTATTATCAAGAGTAAAATTGCTGCTATCACTGAGCCTTAAGTATACTTTGCAAATTCATTCTTCTTCACGTTATCAATTATCTTATCATTCAGCTGACTTTACCTTGGAACATTAACCTCAAGATCAACCGTCTTCGGATATATGCTCTTCGCCATGCGATAAGAGTCAAACTGTGAATCATTTGAAAAAATAATTGCACTCAGTTCCATTTGCACAGTCTCACCATGAAGTCGTTCCGTGCATTGTTGGCAGTGATCCTTCTGAGCCTATGTAGTAGCATTTCAGGATCGGTTCTAAAAAGCAACGGAAAAATTGTCGGCGGTGATGCCGTGGAAATCGAACAATTCCCATACCAGGTTGCCGTCCTCGATGTAGACTACCAAATCTGCGGAGGTACAATCGTCAGTGAAAGATGGATCCTAACGGCGGCACATTGCACCGAGTAAGTTCCGAGTGTTGTGCAAGATTTATGAAATCGTCACTAGCAGAGCAACGATAATCAATTTCAGTGACACCATCCCACGCTATCTGTCCGTTCGAGTGGGCTCTTCTTTCCATCAGCACGGCGGAGTGGTGCATCAAGTGGAGTCGGTCGTCCAATACCCCGACCATGATCCGTACGGTTGGTTGAATGACTTTGCACTGCTGCATCTGGAAACGTCACTGGATTTTGGCGCCGTAGCACAACGCGTAGAATTGGCTTCGACGGATGCAGATATGGATTTTGAAGCCGATTGTCTCATATCTGGATGGGGACGAACCATGAATGATTCGCAAAGCTATGATCAACTAAGAGCAGCACACGTGCGGTTGGTGCCTAGGGACAAGTGCAACCAATACTACGGCGGAAAGGTAGACGAGAAGATGGTTTGTGCGGGTGGAGCTGGACAGGACTCGTGCCAAGGTGACTCCGGAGGACCGTTGGTTTGCAACGGAAAACAAGTTGGAATCGTTTCTTGGGGAAAAGGATGTGGTAACTATCCAGGAGTTTATGCTAATGTCGTGTTTGCAAGAAATTGGATTAAGCGTATCACCGGATATTAGCTCAAACGGTAAACACTCTTCTTTGAATAAATTGTCCTGCAAACCTAACGTACCTCATAATTTATACAACAAACAGTGACACTTTCTCCTGATGGAAACTTTCGTCCCACTATCACCATTTTCCAACGATATAGTTTACAACGAAATTAAATTTATAGTTTTCACCGAGCCATGTAAATCTGTCACCGAAACCCGGCCCCCGAATCCGATCCAGCAATCCCGTTGAAATCAAATCCATGTTTCCGCAATCTTTGCTCGGTGTTCCGTCCAGAGGTATGGGATGGAATTTGCATAACAGTAAACAGGTAGACAGAACCAGAGGCTCTGTGTGAATCGATGACTGCGATGTCTAGCATCGGATCGAACGCATACGATTTCCCAGCAAAACTTTTACTACACACTTGAAAGCGACCATAAAACACGACCCGTTTTTGAGAATGTATACTTGTGTGTGTATGTGTATGTATGCAGAGAGCATTTTCCTAGGGGGAGAATGCGGTAGCCCAGCCTCAACCAAAGGTATTCTACTCTATCCTTGATTTATTGCCTTTACAGCATTCCTATGGAATACATTTTATGGAGACCGATTGAATGTCCCAAAGTCGGCTGCTGCTGCCACTCATGCTACCCTTTCCCACCCCCTAAACTTGGTCACATTGCTTAACGCATAAAGATTCAAAATGATTTCCTGACACTGTCAGCCAAACTCTCCCCTCCATTCATCGATTCATTCATCCATTCATTCAGCCAGCAATCAACCAATCACCCTTCCTTCTACCTCGATAGCATGGAAGCTTCCTGACTGCATGTGAAAATCTATGCGAATCGCTGTTGACGGTGGTGACGGTGAAATCATTTTGACACACGTAGGTACAGGAATGGATGCGGCGTGTTAGCTGGTTGATTAATTAGATAAATTTATTTGAAACTAACTGGCGAGTTTCTATTTATTTGCTACACCATCTTTCAAAAGGATAGGTACACAGGCTGCTTAAAAATACTTAAAACTATTCTTTAAAACTCGACAGTAAGCACTAAGCATGCGTAAGGGCGTAAACGGGATGATCGATTCTCTTCGTTAATTTACTTTTTTTTTTATAACTCGGTGGATTTTTTGTTGCTGTTACGCACTGTTTTGGACAAATTTCAGAAAATAACTTCCATAAGCTGCAGCAATTTAAAAAGAAAATCGACGAACAGAATCGATCATCGTGCATGCTCACTGTCGAACTGGTCTATTATAGGTTGAACACGAAATACTTGTTAGGGATGAAAAGTGCATTTTATCTTTCATAGTTCAATGTAACAACTATACATTGTTAGGTATTTAGCTTATTGTAAGAACATTGTTTTTGTCGTCCTTCTTACCATAGGCTATTCTTGGAACTTTTCTTCGTACACGGCCCATTATCTTTTGCACGAGCTCTGTTCCCACTTGTTTGGCTGCCAAATTCCATTTCCGCTTGAAATCCTTCAGGTCAAATGCAGTTCCACCATTTCTCTTCAGTATGTGCTTCACAGTTGAACCAGTATTCCTCAATTGGCCTTAGTTCCGGAGTATTGGCCGAATTCATCTCCTTGGGAACCACTGTAACGCCATTTTCGCTGCACCACTGTTTAGTGGAATTTGAGAAGTGGCAGCTTGCAAAGTCCGGCCAGAATAGGTAGTACACCTCATGCTGCTCCAAAAAAAGGCAGTAGACTCTTCCGTAGGTCCTCCTGCTGGTTAATTTGCTGGTTCATGGTCCCAGAATCAAGTTTTGTTTTTCAGCCCACAACTGCAGATTGCTTTCCAGACAAGGAAGTTTTTGGGGAATCATGATTTCTTTTTGATTTTACGGAGATCGAAGTGTGCCTTGGCCGCGATCAAACGTGTTTGTTTTCTATTGTCGGGATTTTTTGCGATAATCTTCTGTCAGCGTTTTGGCTGGTGGCGCTACGCCATCCGGAAGAATTTTCGTTTGAATTATTTCCAAATGTATAGTCCAGTTCAGTTTTTACGTATTCAGTAACCGTGTTGTGCCAGTGTTAGTGATTTAGACCGTGAAATCAGCATGGAAAGAAAAGATTCCCATTGGTTAAACCCTGTTAAGCCGTGCCGTTCTTTTCTGGATACTAATTGGGTGAGCTCGTTCCTTAATTTTTGTGGTAATTCTATTGTAAATATTTTTTTTTAAATCATTAAATACGCGTCAATCAAATTTTGCGCTACTGTTTTATAGAAAGTTTCAGTACATTATCAGCATCGATACTGTACCGGAGCGGGGCTTATTGTAAGCAAAATCTTCGGAAGCATGCGATCTTGAAATGGGCTAATGGGTATACGGTAAAGCTATCACCTTCGAACTCCAGAGTTCAAACTTTTTGCAGTCATAAAAAAAATGGTTACAGGTAGATTTTATACATAATACCACTGCCAGACCACTGCCAGACAGGAGTGTGATTGTAGATACATACAGTACATACAATAAATGAACGAATGAAAAATTGCATCAGTCAAATCTGTACAAAATTAGTCTATTTTTTTTTATAAAATCTTTATTCTGTCTTCCTAACATATAAACATGTCTTACAAGCTAAGCTATTCTAAACTAATTACAGGCATTTATTTCTAAGAAGAATTTGAAGCTAGGCAATATGTCGTTCTGTTTCCAAAATATATTGACTAAACTGAACAAATTTTCTTAGAATCATAATTTTGTCATCCCTGCAAAACTCTTCTAAGGTTGGAGCTATCAAACTGGAAAAGGTTAAGAAGCGCATTAAACGAGGATCAAATCTGTTTAGTAAATGTCTAATAAAATAGTTCCATGACTGATTGACCGAAAAACGTTTACAAAATATATGCTCAAGATCTTCGAGGAATCCGCATGATAAGCAATTAGGGTTGTCAGCGATATCTATGCGATACAAATGAGCTCTGTGATCAATTTTCCTATTATAAAGTAAATAAAGAATAGATTTTTCATTTGAGTTCAGGTTCTTTAAGTTAATATTATTCCAGACACGTGGCCAATTGCTTTGTTCTTTAGTTTCAATAGTTGGTCTAGGCAATGATCCAATTTTATCAGAATATAGTTTTGTCATAGAAAAAGGTTGTGTTAGATCATGTTCGTAAAACAAATTCATGAAAGAAGGAAACATATGTGGTAATATAGTAACAGGTTTCCTAATGACTACTGACTACTGATATTAGGCAGAATATAATTTTTCAACAAACACGTGTCGGTCGAATTAGGATTTATCCCAGCCTACTATTGTAGAAAAACGTAATTGATAGATATTGGGCGGAACGCGTCGGAATGTTTAGAAAAATAGGGCGCACGCTTGATCCGGTTTAAGATACATTGTTGACTGCTTTCGGGAACGTGATTACATTTTAATAACTTGTTTACTTGTTTAACCATTGAACGTCGCGTGAAAGTGGAACTTAATGAAGGCATCAGTGCTTTTTCGTTACTTTTAGTTTTCGGATTAGAAAAATCATCGGTTGCAGGACAGTGTTACCGATTTATATTGGATAATCCAAAGCTATGTTGATCATTATAACATTAAATTTTGAATAATAAATGATAAGACAATCTTATTCAAATGTCGTAATAATACCTCTGACCAAGGAAAAATGATTTATATAGTTTTCATAAAAGTTGACGATACAAATACTAATGAGGAAAGGAATTCCGCATTTCCTTTTCCCAAGTCCTTTTCCTTGCTTTCCCTTCCCTTCTTCTCTTTTCAGAAAGCGAGTAATGGCACTATAACCATATGCCATATAGGGCTAGGACAAGAGTTAGTGCTCAGGTCCCAACCGCTAGAAGAAAATGGTAGCGAGCAAGGGCGCTATAACCTAGGCGAATACAGCATTCCCTCCGTATAGGTTACGTCCGCACACCGCTCTCTGTTGTCCTTCGACTGAGGTTGGCTGGATCGATTGAGGGATGGCAGTGGGTTGGCTGTGCCGTCCACGCTTGTACGGAGGGAGGACTGTACGCTCGAACACAAGGGGTAAATACCTGTGTTCCATCCTAGGAGATCGGACAACCAAGGAGTGTACATTAACTTTCTTAGCTCTGTCACTCCCAACGATTTATATAGCCTATTTTCAAATCTTGCATACGGAGTGGTTGGTACGGTATGTCCCCGCTCTTTGATTACCTGTGGATTAAATGTTAACTACTGTCTATACTTATTAAGTAGACATGGTAAACATTCACTTCCGCAAAAATTAACTAAACGCTACACAGTAGGCCTGGCCGCTTTATTGTTTGTTTCACATCCTTGATGTGCAGCAGGCATTAATAATGACAAGAAAAATTATAGATGTATCATTTTCCAGGATTCTTTTAAGTACTGGCTGTATATGTGTAGACTAGACTAGACTAGACTAATCATGACTTCTTTTTGATTTTACATTGTTCCGGGATACTCTTCTGGTCAAGCGAGGTATAAAATTCCTGTCCAGGAATTTGATCGAAAACTGCAAGGAGCACTGCAAGTAAATTTTTTGGAGTTTTCCTGAAATTCACTTCTCATCTTCCATGAGTTAAAACTAGCTTAAAGACCAATTTTAAAAACCCCCTTCGTTGCGTAGTTTGCAAAACTTAATACATGGTCTGTCACTCCTACGGACGATGAGATCGATGCAATATTGCAAAGTGTGCAAAATCGGGCCAAAACACGGAACTTATTTTTGCCGCTGGACCTCAACTTAAACAAACCGATTAGTCATGGTTTCATCAATAACAGATGACGGGAAGTGGGCAGTGTTGCCCTATCTCCTCAATATTAGCCATGATTCAGAGGAAATCCTCGTATAATTTAGAGGAAATGAGGCTTCTTTACTCCACTTTCCGTCATCTTCCGTCGATTAATCTATCACCCATCGATTTAATTTTATTTTTTAAGAAAAGAATTCAAGTCAGCTCTCCATAACTCAATATTGCAGGGACCATCGTGTGATATAATTATCAACTTATAGAATAAAACAATTTTTTTCGCCTAAAATTTCAAGAATAATACCGAAATAATCCATTTACTGTAATAGGGGA